GTACATGGGATCTTTGTGGCTCTGAAGGGAAGGTGCAAGGTGGGACAAAGTAACCTTGGGGACACTGGGTCTGATCTTAAATCTGGGTGAGGGGGAAAAGGAGTGATGGGTGGGATGTGGTGCCTGCTTCAAGGGGGGGAACTCCAGCTGGTGCTTCTTGGGGGAAGCAGAGGTGTGTGTGGTGGTGACTTTCACTTCCTCTCCTCTTCTGCAAGCGGCTGATCCCACAGAAGCCCTGTTGGGGGCTGGTCTTCTGCCATACCTTGGGCATTTGATAGCACTACCCAAAAATGGTGCTGCTGCGTAGAATCAGTCAGCCTGCTTTGATTTTATGAGGAAATGGGTATGATTGCTTGATGAGCATTGGATCAAGGAGGCTCTAATTGGTGCTGATCTCATGTATGGGAACAAGGATTTCTGGCAACCAGGTGGGTGTGATCTGTCACATGTCTCTTCTTGGGTTTGTTAAGATTTGCTGTGACTGGTGTCGCAGAACAGGCACTTGAGATTTTGAGGGATCTTGGCTTGTTTCATAGCTTTTTTTCATTATAACTGCATTTTCTGTTAAGGATTAGGAAAATCCAAACTTGCGGTTTCAACACCCAGGTTGGAAGTTGCTGTGGTGAAGGGACTGGTTATGGGGATCCCTTTGTGCTCATCAGAGGAGCATTCAAACCAAGAGGTGGGCATGTCACAGCTGGGTGGTTGTGCAAAACATTCGTTGCCCGTTGTGGGACAACAGGACTCCCTGGAGCCACCACACAGCTCAGCCTGCAATGCCAGCCATGCTCTGGAGACCAGACAGGGACTGTGCTGGCCCCAGCAGTGGTCCTGCTATGGTAGAAGATGGTCTGGGAGGGATGAAAAGGGCTTCTCCAGAGACCCCAGTGGAGCAGCACAGCCTGTGGTGAGAGCCCAAGGTGGCTTGAGCTGTGGACCTGTCCTGGCCTCCTCCCCTGGATCACGAAGAGCCACCAAAGTGCCTACCACGATCTCAGCTTCACCTTGGCTGTCCTGGAGAGCATCAGACAGTAACAGCTCGATGCATCAACCAACAGGAGAACTTAATCCTAATTAGGACACGAGTGGAGGTGACTGCAGAAGCTGAAGACGCTGTGGCACAGGCAACATCTAACGACCATGTCTCCAAGGAAACTTACACCAACATCTTCCTGCACCGGGGAAGTCTTTGCCCTGAGTGCATTTGTGGGCTTTTTGTGGTCTGTCTTAAGAACTGTTTTGAGGGCTTACTCAAAAATCTCCCTTCCAGGGGAGAACAATGAACACCAATCCCAGAGGCTGGCTAATTTTGATTCACGGCTGAATTTCAGGACCATACCTAGAAAAACCTCTGTTTTGTCAAGCGTCCTTGGGGTCCAGTTGGGGCGGTCTAAAGGTACCTGGGGTGTAGCTGCACTGCTGCTGCTGGCTTTTCAGCGAAAGTCCCCAGGGGATGGACTTGTTGAGGGGCGTCTTGGCAAGTTTGAAGCATGAAACAAGCCTCATTTGTGCTTAATGAAATACAGGAAACTTCTCTGCAAGCAAACCGTTTCCTGAGTCAGCCAAATACGAGTGTTTTAGGAGAACAGCTCTCTAGGAGACCTTTTTTGAAGACCAAATACTTTCTTACGAGGGGCGGTTTGAAACCTGTATGGCTTCGTTCGCGGTGCCTGAACGACTCGGGGCGGGGCTGAACGACCCCGCCTTGCCCCAGCACTTCCCGCCGTCGCCCCTCAGGGCTGCTCCTCCC